AGGACCCAACTACTTGAGCCATCACTTGTTGCCTCAACACACTGCCTCACTGTCCACATTAAAAGGAAGCTGGGGGGCCAGTGCAGTGGTATAAGGGGTAAAGCCACCACCTGCAGTGCCAGCATCCCATACAGGCGCCAGTTGGAGTCCCGGCTGCTCCACTTCCAATCCAGCTCTCTGCTATGGCCTGGGAAAGCAGTAGAAGATGGCCCAGGTCCTCGGCCCCCTGCATCCACGTGGGAGACCCATAAGAAGCTTCTGGTTCCTGGCCTTGGATCGGTGCAGCTCCAGCCATTGCGGCCAATTGGGGAGTAAAGAGTGAACCAGAGGAAGAAAGACCTCTCTCTCTCTCTCTCTCTCTCTCTCTCTCTCTGACTTTCAAATAAATAAATAAATCTTTAAAAAACAAAACAGGAAACTGCAATCAGAAGCAGAGTCAGGATTCCAACAGAGGCATTAGAATAGGGTATACAGACTTCTCAAGGGTCATTTTAACTGCTACCCTAAACAACTGTCTCTCCTGTTTGATTTGAAACCTCTAAGTCCTCCATAAATTCTGATTTCAAAAGGCACATACATCTGGTGACAAATACAAAATGGTTTTAAATGAGGACCTCAAACTGATATTGTGTTCAGTGTTTGCCACTTCAAATACTATGACCTTAAACCAGACCATAGATTGTAAAGAGGAGCTTGTTAGAATCACTCCTAACAAGACACAACTTGACATGGAATGCTAATGCGAAGTTGACAAGCAAGAATTAAACTACAGGAAGAGAATAAAGGTAGGAAAGTAGGGAGAAAGAAGACGACAAAGACAAAGAGGGAAGAGAAGGGAAAAAAATGAAAGGAAACATTTTACTGAGAAAAAAAAATTCCTGCAACATCAAGTATATTCTGTGTCTAGTCAAATCTAAAAATGTGATTTCTAACATTGAGAGGGCAAGGCAGGGTTCCTGTCAGTGTTACTTAAGGTCATTAAGCGTATCTTTTTTTTTTTTAAAGATTTATTTATTTATTTGAAAGGTGGCGCTACAGAGAAGCAGAGGCAGAGGCTAAGAGAGAGAAGATCGATTCACTGGTTCACTCCCCAAATGGCTGCAACAGCTGGGGCCATGCCCATCAGACTCCAGGAGCCAGTAGCTTCCTTCAGGTCTTCCCATGAGGGTGCAGGGGCCCAAAGACTTGGGCCATCTTCCACTACTTTCCCAGGCCACAGCAAAGAGCTGGATCGGAAGTGGAGCAGCCAGGTCTTGAACCAGCACCCATATGGGATGCAGGTACTGCAGATGGCAGCCCCACCCACTACGCCGCAGTGCTGGCCCCATTTAGTCTATCTTGAAAAATATTACTTTCAAAAGATGGACTCTTCTAAAATCAACATTGAAGTGATATTCTAAGGAAGTTCCATTATTCTTCAATAGAACCTTGATGGTGATCATTGCTTTTTAGTTTATTTAAACTTACAGGGGCAGATGCCCGACTTTGGGGGCTAGAACTAAGCTTGGCCCTTTTCTGACTGTTAGAACTCTAATAAGCTACTTAACCTCTTTTTATATCAACTTTCCCACTGTGAAAAATTAAGAATATGAAAGTATTCTACATTAAAAGGTTTGGTATAACAATAAATAAAACAATGAATAAAATCATTGAAATGTCTAGCACATAGAATGTAACAGAAGATATAATTATTATGCATTCTGATTTAAATATTTTAGTGCTATATATTTTGTTTAAAATTATATAAATGCAGGGGCTGGTGTTGTGTTGTAGTGGGTAAAGCCGCTGCTTGCAGTGCTGGTATCCTATATGGATTGAACCCTGGCTGCTCCACTTCTGATCCAGCTCTCTGCTATGGCCTGGGAAAGCAGTAGAAGATGGCCCAACTTCTTGGGCCCCTGCACCTGTGTGGGAGACCAAGAAGAAACTCCTGGCTCCTGGCTTCAGATTGGCACAACTCTGACCATTGCAGCCATGTGGGGAGTGAACCAGCAGATGGAAGACTTCTCTCTCTCTCTCTTTCTGCCTCTCCTTCTCTCTCTGCATAACTCTGACACACAAATAAATAAATAAATAAATCTTCAAAAAAACATAAACACGGGCCGGCGCCGCGGCTCAATAGGCTAATCCTCCACCTAGCGGCGCCGGCACACTGGGTTCTAGTCCCGGTCGGGGTGCCGGATTCTGTCCCGGTTGCCCCCCTTCCAGGCCAGCTCTCTGCTGTGGCCCGGGAGTGCAGTGGAGGATGGCCCAAGTGCTTGGGCCCTGCACCCCATGGGAGACCAGGAGAAGCACCTGGCTCCTGCCATGGGATCAGCGCGGTGCGCTGGCCGCAGCATGCCAGCCGTGGCGGCCATTGGAGGGTGAACCAACGGCAAAAGGAAGACCTTTCTCTGTCTCTCTCACTGTCCACTCTGCCTGTCAGAAAAAAAAAAAAAAAAGAAAGAAAAAGAAAAAACATAAGCGCATATATACATCAAGTCATAATCTGACAGTCTAGGAACCTCAAACCATTGATAATATACCTTCATGGTAATTCCATTAAAACTGTTTTCTTGAAGTTTGCTGCCATGTCAAGTTAGGCCAATGTAAGCACTAGATACATGAGCCTAGAAGTATTTTGAAAGGCTGATGTTGATTTTTCTACATCTGCTTTATTTTATAAGAGGCAAAGCTTATTCCAGCCTTGCTTTTTAGAGACCTAACTTTTAATGACATATACATCCTGTCATGCTGATTAAGCCACATCCCTTATTCTGGAGCAAAAAGGCAAGAACACCAAACCATCCACACCAGTTGCAAACTAGACAGAGAGGATAACTCTTGTCTCACTTTCATCTCTGGTTGCAATATCACATTTGCCCATCCCTCAAAGAAGAGGCCCTAAATCATGTGACCCCAAATCATATAATTTCTTTGGACTTATTTATATGTTAAAAGATTTTGGAAAAGGCATTCCCTCCCATCAGTTTGTGCAGAATGTTTATTTTTCCAATAATAATGAAAACAATAACAGTTACCACTTAATAAATACCAGGCCTTGCTTTTTAAAAGTTTATGCATTTTGGGTCCCTTATTTCCTGCATTTCTGCAGCCTTTGCTATTTCACTGATTTTCCTAAGAGCAATATTTGAATTCCCTTCTCATTTCCTTTTGTGTATTCTACAGTTATTGTCTTTGTGGTTATCATGGGAGTTCCATTTAACATCCAAAAGTTTTATCACTGAAGTGCGCATCTGCACCAGCTTAACTTCAATAACATACTAAAACTCCAGTCCTAAGCAGCTCCAACCTCACCCCTTTTCAGGGGTCACAAAGCTACATGTTCCTTGTGTGTTGAAAAGCACCAATTGGTCATTTTTTTTCATATGTCAGCATCTTCAATCATGTAGAAAATAAAAACTAGTGAGAGCTTCTATAATTTTCCATGGAATGGGACTTTACCAGATGTCTTATTTCTAATGTCTTTAAAAGTTCAGTCTGAAGGACTCCCTTCACGCAAGGCAGGTCTAGTGGTGACAAACTTCATCAGCTTTGGTTTTCTGGTGTTGTTGTTTCAATACCCATGTCCTTACAAACTTCATTTTGACGCTTCACCCCAGGGCGACATTATTCAGAGGTGGGGCATTTAGGAGGCAAAGAGACCATGAGAGCTCCACAGCTATGGACAGGGTGGTGAGTTTCCAAAAGGACTTGAAGAGCTGAGTTCACTCCTTCCCTTATATGAGAACACCTCATGAAGGAACCAACTCTCCTTAAACTGACTTGTGAAACTTGGACATTTGTAGGGCACAATGCAACTTTTTAACACATATTCATAGCTTCACCTGACCATACTAGGCCACTAGCCTTTCCATATCTTTATCTTTCCTTTGAAGAAGGCACCATCTTTGAGGCAGAGTGTGAGTCCTTACAGACACTGAACCTGCTGGTGCCTTGATCTTAGACTTTCCAGTCTCCAGAAGAGTGAGAAATAAATTTCTGTTCCTGGGGCTGGTGCTGTGGTGCAGCGGGTTAACAACCTGGCCTGAAGTGCCAGCATCCCATATAGGTGCTGGCTCAAGACCCAGCTACTCCACTTCCAATCCGACTCTCCTGTGGCCTGGGAAAGCAGTGGAGGATGGCCCAACTCCTTGGGCCCCTGCACCTGCATGGGAGACCTGGAAGAAGCTCCTACCTCCTGGCTTCAGAATGGCACAGCTCCGGCCATTACGGCCAACTGGGGAGTGAACCATTGAATGGAAAACCTCTCTCTCTCTCTCTCTCTCTCTGCCTCTCTTCTCTTTGTGTAACTCTTTCAAATAAATAAATAAATAAATCTTTAAAAAAATTTCTGTTCCTTTTGCAGTTACCCAGGTCAAGGTCTTTTGTTAAGGCGGCACAAAAGGACTGAGACACCTAAAAAGCTCTCACTTCCTTCCTACTGAAGGGCAGTTTTGGAGAACATTAATTGCTCAGTTGATCCTTATTTTGCCTTCCACACCTGGACACTGGATCGACCCCAGTGCCTTCTGGTTCTCCAGGTTTTCTGATCATACATCTGATGATGAATTTACAGGGGAAAGATAATGAGAGAGAACTTCCTCTCAGCTCTGCAGATATTAATAATGCACCTGATGGTCTTGAGCAACAGACATTTTGTTGTGATGCCAGTGAATTTGTACCAACATTTTCAGACTAAGGTTAAGGAAAAAGGAATAGGTGTTTTTGACTGTAGTCACTAGGCCTTCAAAAACCAAAAATTATTATAAATTTTTAAACTAGAAATGGAAAGGCCATTGAAACATCCTTCAGGTTTTAATTTCTCAAAAGACAAGTATCATCTCTATCAACAAGCTAAGTAAAAATGTTTTGGGGGTCCTTCTTCTTTATTCAACTGGAAAGGTTCTAGTGAAAACCGCTGCGGAACACCTTCAGCTGTGACTGGTCCATTTCTTGCTCTGACATCATAAGGAGTTATTGTTATTTCATCACAAACAGGAAATAAGCCCCCAGCTCAGGCTAGGTTTTTGTCTGTGTTGTCCAGGAAGCTCTGCAGTGGTGACCTGCAGGACCTGGACTCAGTCATTGTTCACTTGCATTTCTGTCACTTTCATTTGTTCTTTTTATGTTTTGTTACCTTTTATTTTCTATTTTATTTTGTTCTTCCCCCATTAACATTTTTCCCATTTTGTGTTTGTTTTCCTTATATTTCATTTCTTTTTTAGACTGATTTTCTTTTCACCACTCCTCTCTTATTTCTTATTATTCTTTTCCCTTATTTTCCTTTTTAATATTTGTTTATTTATTTATCTATCCATCTATCTATCTATCTATTAGAAAGGCAGAGTGACAGAGAGACAGAGATCTCTCTGCTGGTTCACTCTCCAAACAGCCACAGTGACCGGGACTGTGACATGTGAAAGCCAGGAGCCTGGAACTCTGTCCATTCTCTCAGGTGAGTATCAGATGTATGTCTGTTATCAACTACAGCCTTCCCTGGTGCATCAGCAGGGAGCTGGATCAGAAAGGGAGCAGCCGGGACCTGAACCAGCACCCAGATATGAGAGGTGGGTGCTGGAAGTGGTGGCTTAGCCTACCGTGCCACAATGCAGGCCCCTGTTTTAATTTTCTGTTTCCAATTGTTGTGGCATTTTCTCCATTTTTTAAAGTTTTTGTTTTTTCTCCTTTCTAATCTTTTTTGGATAGAACCATTTTACTCAGTTTTACTCATTTTACTACTGTTAGTATAGTTAATACTATCTTTTCCTTGCAGTTTTCCTCATTGTTTTATTCTCTCACTTTTTTAAAAAAATTTCTATAGTATTAGTCCTACTGACCAGGACTAGCTACTATGGTTACTGTGTTCTTTTTTATTATTATTTTATTTTTATTTTTTGACAGGCAGAGTGGACAGTGAGAGAGAGAGACAGAGAGAAAGGTCTTCCTTTGCCGTTGGTTCACCCTCCAATGGCCACCATGGCCGGCACGCTGCGGCCAGCGCACCGCGCTGATCCGATGGCAGGAGCCAGGTACTTATCCTGGTCTCCCATGGGGTGCAGGGCCCAAGTACTCGGACCATCCTCCACTGCACTCCCGGGCCACAGCAAAGAGCTGGCCTGGAAGAAGGGCAACCGGGACAGAATCCAGCGCCCCGACTGGGACTAGAACCTGGTGTGCCAGCACCGCAAGGTGGAGGATTAGCCTAGTGAGCTCCGGCGCTGGCCAGGTTACTGTGTTCTGTTAGTAGCACAAGTCTAGTTGATTAATTAGCATTACTAGTGTTACTAGTGGTGCTGGCACCTTGAGGAATTCCATCATGAGGAGAAGGTTCCTTGATGGATATCAGGTTCTGTGTACCACTGGCCAGGACAGCTCCAGCCAGAGGAAGCTAGCCCAGCATCTGCAAACTGGGATGCAGGTGGCCATGAAAGTCATCCCAAGGGAGCATAAGGACTCCTCTAGCTTTCAGAAATTGGGAGCAGAAGTGGAAGTAATGAAAGGCATTTATCAGCTGAGCATCACAATGCCCTTGGTGATAATGCACACAGGAGACAGAGCAAAATTGTTACAGAATCTGTGAGAGCAGGAGAGATCACAAATGTTATGCGGCATAGTGCGGCTGCCTATAGAATGAAGAGGTCTGTCTCAAGTTTAACTAGACTTCATGGGCTGCGCACTACTGCCACAAGAACTGCATTGTGCTCAAAGACCTGAAATTGATGTTGGCTTGAACATTAAATCAGCAGACTTTGGCCTGAACCACAGGGTAACTAAGGAATAGCTAGACACATTTTTGCAAGATCCCCTGCAATGGACTGTCTATTACCTGACCTGATGGTGAGAAACCCTCTTCCAGCCCAGCCCCAAACAAAGCCCTGTGGTCTCCCCTCTATCCCCAGTACCAGGAGCACTGAGGACCACTTAGAAGAAGGGAACTGTTTGGAGATAGTAGCAGAGCAAGAAAGTGTTGCAGCACAGCAATGGAGAAGGAGGGTGGAGAGCCAGGACCAGAAGGGGGTTGGCAGGAGGAGAATCAACTTCCTCCCTGGATATGCTATATCCTGTGGGCCCCAGAGTCAGGACCTAGAGTCTGCAGGAGAAAGGGGCTGCCCTGTAGCCTAATTCAGAGAAGATCCTCAAGAAGAGGGGACCTCAAGCTGAGCTCCCTGAGTTTTGATTCATTTGTTTAGACTTTTTATCATGATTCTCAGGATTGTATTTAAGTGAACAGCATATCATTAAATAACCTTATGAGATATGATTTCATCATTATTCTTACTTTACCCATAAGAATACTGAAGGTTGGAGGTGAAGTAGCTAGAAAGTGACAAAGTTAGAGTCCCAAACCAAGGAAGATATCCCTACACCCAACTTCCTTGAGTCGCCCTATGAATCCCCTAGGAATTCAGCTGTTTTCTGGTTAGGAAAGGCTTTCTTCCATGACTTTTCCTCTTTTCATCCATCTTACTTAATGCTTATATGCAACTGTTCTAATGTTTCTGTTATCTTTTTTTTAATGGCTTCTGGACTCATTTTTAAATGACAGCATTATTGTTTCCCAAGTTTCAATTCACATCCATTACTCCTTTAATCTTCTGTTTCCTTCTAAACTAACTCCTTGCCAGATTTGATTTTGCTCTTGTCTTTGCATGCATCAGTTTGCCTCTCACTTTGAGACTTACCCATAATGCCAGCATCCGGAACTATTCTTGGCTTCCTTGATAAGTGTGTCTCTACAGAATATTATTATTTCACTGTAGTATGTAGGACATGAAATATACAAGATAACTAACTGAATCAACACCCCTGAAAGATGATTCATAAGTACTTAGATGCTCACTGCTTCCATTTTCATTGTTGAGATAATTAGTTTTTTTGTGATTAGTGTTTATGAACTCACCCCAGTACAAACAAATAAAATACTACACAGGATATTCTTCAAGTGATAGGTCACATTAAAAATCCCAAGGCATGAGTGTATGCTACTCATGGGGATGAAACTGGAGCAAAGCCAAAGCATCCAGCATCAAACAAAATAAATGTTCACTTTCTGACCCCTCCCCTGCACTCCAGAAGCCTCTGGTTCACTTGTCACAAAGCTATTCTCCAGGGAACAAAGCCTGTTCTGTTGAGGTGGGTGCAGCTTCCAGCAAAGCAACCCTCACCATGATCCAACTGTAGCTGAGAAGCGTGGAAGGCAAAGGAAGCAATTTTGACAAAGAATAACAAGTGCTGTCTATACAATCGTAGAACAAAAACGTAAAAAGGCATAAAAGGTATTGATAATTAATTTAAAATACCATAAGGAAACCATAGTTAAAGTGAAGGGGAAAATAGAGCCTCAACAAAGACAAACGAAACTGCTAAGGCCTGCCTGAAAGGAAATGCCCCGACACATTGGACTGCTAGCACAACGCCCAAGTTTTTTCCTGTAATTATGGCTCTACTTATCCCATCTTAGATTCATAGAAAAACTTGAGTGGATAGGGGATTATTTCATGCTGGGAATATAGAAATAAGTTTGAGCAAATTGCCCATTTGTGATTATTTAAATAAAACATCATAATTGGAATATGTTGGTCGATAAAGGCAATTTTTTTTCCTTCTCTCTCCTTTGTATAAGAACAATACACTAAATGCTATCTTGATTTTTTTAGTGCATTTCTGTAAATACAGTATTTAATGCCAGGTGCCCCCTCAATTTTATATTGTGATAGGCTACATCCAAGGAGGAGTAAATGCACTCTGAGTTGTTTTCCACACTGCTTGGGCTCCAAGAAATCATTAATGACCTTCTCTGTTTGGGTACTGTCTTCTGTGACGACCACATGCAGCCTGACTCAGTGATGCTCACACTGAATGGGTCTCACTTTTATCACATTTACTGCAGTGCAGGTTCCCTTATACAGTTAGATTTGCCATCACTGTTTTCATAGTCTCCTTCAAAACATGTATTTCAAATACAAGAGTTCCTCCTGCTTCTTTTTTGCTCTTAACAAAGACATAGTATTGTATAGCCTTAAAAAGATAGAACTTCTTACACTGAAAATAAATCTTTCAGGGTTACCATGTGGCATAAGGTTAAACTGCTTCTTGGAATATCTACATCCCATACTGGAGAACCTGGGTTCAAATCCTGACTCCACTCTCCATTCCACCTTCTTGATACTGTGCATCCTGGGGGGCAGCAGATGATGGATCAAGTACTTGGCCTCTGCCATCCATACAGGAGACTTTGTATTTTGAGTTCCGGGTTTTGGCCTGGACCAGCATTACTTGGTATGGGCATTTAGGGAATGAATCACCTAATGGGATATATTCTCTTTCTCTTTGTGTCTGTCTACCTGCCTTTCAAATAAATAATTTAAAAAATACATCTTTGTCAGCTAGGCTCAATATGTGGTCCACTCTCACATTCCCAGTCATGTGTGGAGGACAGCTTGATAGGCCATTCTCTTAATTCCACACGGACTATCTAACTTTTGATCTTGGAAAAAGCTGCTAGGTCAATGTACTTTATAGCAATTAAATAAGACTTCCTGGAAATATTCTCTTATTTCAACTGGCATATAAATAGAATCAAACAAATTATGCAGGTTTTTCTGAAAATTTGTGGAAAGTGGAATTAAACTAAGTTTATTTTGTTGTAAAAATAGTGAAATCCATCCATAGTCTTTTCATAATGTGTTTTCCAAGAACTTTTTGAAGACCTCTCTTATACATTTTTCATAGTGTCCTGCAAGAAACACTCAATATATAATATTACTTAAATACCTATGGTGAGCAAAGCTTTGATTACCTGTCAAAGATGACCTGGAAGAATGCTACAGAGTGTTGGCCTCAACTTCAGGCAAAGCCATAGAAAGAAGCCGACAAACGTCAAGTGAGAAACACCAGAGGTGGTAGGGGACCTCAAATGCTAAGTAAATAAGAGGAAAGAGAAATGATGATGGGCTACAAGAAAACTGCCCTCCTGCTGACTCCTGGGTTCTTCAGTTTAAAAAATCTCATTGAAGCATTAAGGAATTCAAAGCCATCAGGTCAGCCAAGAGTTTACAACCTGAAATTCCTTGCAAACACTTGATGAGTAGAATCACTCAATTAAGATCCACAGATGATAATTATGATGACACTTTAGCTATTTGAAGACAACTCTCCAGTGCTTTTTTCCATATTTCTTTTATATCATGAGGTAGCAATGTTTAAAGAAGTGACATGCTCAAGGACATATTAGTCTAGACAGCAAAAGACACACGAAAACAGATTTTCTAAAACTCCAATGACTTTGCTGTTATGAGACATTTCAGGAAAGTTTCAGATATTTTATTCAGAGCAACATAATTTCTTCTATAATAAATAGTACCAGAACATTAAAGTATATTTTAGTACTATGGATAACCAACTGACACAAATGTCAATTGTAAGTAAATGAGAATACGAGACTAAATAAATCAT